ATCGGTCCCCTGAGGTAACTGGAGATCATCCAGCCCAACCCCTTCTCACTACTCCTGCCCTATGTCCTTTGGCCGGTCTAATCGCTGTCTGCGAACGTGCAAAGAGCCCCCTCTCCTCGGTGTCATTCCTAACCCTAACCCTGACACCCCCCGCTCCCCATGCCAGTCCTGGACTCCAGCTCCCATCGTCCTTGGCAGCCCCTATGGCACTACAACTGCCTTCACCACCAAACCGCCGCAAAGGGCCCAGTTGGAGCATTACGGGCCCTGCCCTCTCCGGCTGCAGGCGTGGGAAGGGGCTGCATCTTCTTTTGGGGAGAGGGGCTTTTGGGGACCACCCAGGACCTGCTTCCTCTGAGCTCCAACCCCCTTGAGGCTGGTGGTCGAAGGCACTCTGTGCATGCTCAGAAGGTCTTCCACATGCCCTGGCCGGCCCTCCTAAACCCACACGGCCACCGCTCCACTTACCAGACCCCCCTTCGGTCCGTGGGGGCCGTCCACGCCACGCACGCCCTGCCGAGGGAGAGAGAGAGAGGCCAGGGTCAGGGGTCAGGGGTCAGGGGTCAGCAGCATGGTTGGGGGCACGGCGGTCCCTCCTCCCCAACACTTACCTGGGGCCCTGGGATGCCCGGGGGCCCTTTGGGGCCAAGCAACCCTCTCGGTCCCTGCGAAGGAAAGGCAGGATGGGCGGGTGGAGGCTTTGGGGGGGCTGACCGTGCCCCCCCAATCGTTGCCTCTGGGGAACCCCAAAGAACCCAGGTGTGTGTGGGGGGGTCTTTAAACGCCCCCTCTCCAGGCAAACCCCCGGAGAGACCACGACCGGCTGCCTCCTCCCCTCCCACGTCGGGGACGCTACACACCGTTTCTCCTGGGAGTCCGCGGGGACCGATCTCTCCATCGTCTCCCTGCGGTGGGTGGGAAGGGGGGAGAAGAGAAGAGCGTCTGCAAGGGGGGAGATCGGCTTCCATTTTTTTAAAATCTCCCCCTCCCCCCCCTTGTTTCTGTTCATGGAGGCAGGTGGAACCCCCTCCCCCCTTGAGGACCACCCCCGGGTCTGCCTGAAAGCTCAAAAGTGGCTAGTCCTCAAGGTGGGGGGCGTTTTCTTTAGCACTCCCTCCCGCTCCTCCCTCCGCTCCCCTCACGGGCCTTACCTGCTCGCCGTCTTCACCGGGGGGTCCAGGGACACCTTGTGCTCCGGGATCCCCCTGCCGAGGACGGAAACAGCACAGTGACGGGTCCGCCAAGGTGGGAGGGCCTCAGGCAATGTGCCCCCCGACCCACCCTCCTCCCGCCAACCCTCCTCCCCAGTCATTTATTTTTAGTTATTTATTTGATTTGTCAGTCGCTTACAAGATAACAGGTATAAGTATATACATAGTTATGAATACATGAAATGGGTGCATGTAAGAAATTTACACGGCGCAGGACGGGGTGAGTGCGGAGGGCCGGGCCGGGACCTGCCCCGTCCCCTCCCAGCTGTGGCGTCTTCTCTCCCTGCTCCCCTGGCCACGGAGTTGGGGTGGGGGGGACGGTTTTGGGGAGCTTCCTGCCAAATGGGAAATGCCTTATATGGGGTTTGCACCCCGGCTTGGAGGGCTGAGCTGCCCCCCTTTTTATTTTTTTCCTCCGTGGAATAAATACCAGAAAGTGATATATTTTTTTTTCCTGCAGTGCACCAATATTTTCCTGCAGTGCGCCACCTGGAGGTTGTGCGCCGCCATTGCAGGCTCCTCAGAGGCTGCCTGTCGGCTTGGTGGGGTTTTTTAATTTTATTTATTTACTTTTGTCAATTGTCAATCTCTTACAAGAGAATAGGTATAAGTAAAAAACATAGTTATGAATACATGGATGCATATAAGAAAAATCAAAGAAACAATAGGACAGGGATGGTAGGCACATTGGTGCGCTTATGCACACCCCCTACGGACCTCTTAAGAAAGGCGTGAGGTCAATAGTAGACAGTCTAAGGTTAAAGTTTTTGGGGTTTGGGGAAGAAACCACAGAGTCAGGTAGAGTATTCCAGATATTGACCACTCTGTTGATAAAGTCGTATTTCCTGCTATCAAGTTTGCTGTGGTTAACCTTGAGTTTGTATCTATTGTGTGCTCTTGTGTTGTTATGGTTGAAGCTGAACTATTCATTGACAGGTAGGACATTGCAATGTATGATTTTATATACTATACTTAGATCGGACCGAAGGTGGCGTAGTTGTAGGTTTTCTAGGTCTAGAATTTCAAGTCTGGTGGCATAAGGTATTCTACAACGAGTAGAGGAGTGGAGAACTCTTCTTGTGAAATATTCCTGGACTTTCTCAACTGTGTTAATATCAGATATCTAATGTGGGTTCCAGACTGATGAGCTGTATTCGAGTGTTGGTCTAGCAAATGTTTTGTATGCTCTAGTTAGTAGTGCGATATTACCAGAGGAAAAGCTATGCAGGATTAGGTTAACAATTCTTAATGCCTTTTGGGCTATGTAGTTACAGTGGGCTCTAGCACTTTGGTCATTAGAGATGAGTATTCCAAGGTCCTTGACGGAGTTTGGATCATCAACAAGGTCTTGACTATTGAGCTTGTATTTTATTTTCTGATATTTTTTTTTTGCCAATATGTGAGACAGAGCATTTATTAGTTGAGATTTGAAGTTGCCATTTGATTGACTCACCCGGTATCCTTTGTCCCCCGGGAGGCCGGGCAGCCCGTCGAAACCCCGGTCGCCCTGCAGGAGGAGAGCGTGAGAAAAGTGGGGGAAAGCCAGCAGATGTGGGGCTCAGAGGCCCCAGGGACCCCCCAAGGGGGGGGGACACAAAGAGACGCACCCCAGACGCCCCACTGTGTGGGGCATGGGGGGAGGATCCCCACCATTGTGCATCGGGGCAGGGCCAACCGAGAACGGGGAGGGGTCCCTCAAGGGAAGCCCCCACCCACCCACAGATGGCAGTGAGGAGGGGTGGGAAGGCCAGAGTGCTTGGCTGCAAGGCCAGCACTGTCTTTGTGCAGAAGATGGGGACCGGGGGAGCTGGGTTCGAGTCCTACTCCCCCCCACCCTTGTGGAAGCGGAGCCCTTACCTTGAGGCCGGATTCCCCAGGCATCCCCCGTGCGCCATCTGCACCAGCCCTGCCCTGGAGACACACAGAGGGGGGGTCAGAAGGAAGGGGGGGTCCTCCCCTTCCACTACGCGACTCCCCCTCCTCCCTGTTATGTTGTGATTGTTAACAAATTTTGTTCCCCTTCCGCAAAACAACAAAAAGGTGGACTTACACGACGGCCGGGCTTCCCTGGGGGGCCACTCAGTCCCTGTTGTCCCTGGGGCCCCTGGAGAGGGAAAGAGAGAGAGTCCAGGATTTAGTGGCGCAAAAAATGGGGTGAGCTACTGGGGGGCTGGCAAAGTCATCTAGCCCAGGGGTCGCCAACCTTTTGGACCTCAGGGACCCCCAAAATCATAATTTTAGATCCCAGGGACCACTAACCGGTTCTACGGGTGTGGCCTAATTTGTGGGTGTGGCTTGGTGGCCATGTGACTGGCTGGGCATGGCTTGTATGTAAATATTATAAGTATTTATATAATTGAATTTTTTTATTTAAAAAAAGAGCAACTTTTACCCAAAATCAGGCAAAGCGGGCAGGCAGATTGAGTTGCTCCCAGAATCATTCAGTGATCTATTTATCTGCCATCGGCTAGCTCAGTTTGTCACATAAAAATTGCTTGCAAGCAAACTCACAAAATTAACTCACACCATGTATGTAAATATTGAATTTTTATATATATATATAAAAAAGAGCAACTTATACCCAAAATCAGGCAAAGCAGGCAGGCAGATTGAGTTGCTCACAGAATCACAGATTCATTCAGTGATCTATCTATCTGCCATCGGCTAGCTCAGTCTGTCCCATAAAATTTGCTTGAAAGCAAACTCACTAAATTTGCTAGCAAGTGAACTCACAAAATTAACTCACACCATGTACGTAAATATTGAATTTATATATGTATGTATGTATGTATGTATTTTTGTATGTATGTATGTATGTAAAAGAGCAACTTACACCCAAAATCAGGCAAAGCAGGCAGGCAGATTGAGTTGCTCACAGAATCACAGATTCATTCAGTGATCTATCTATCTGCCATCGGCTAGCTCAGTCTGTCACATAAAATTTGCTTGCAAGCAAACTCACAAAATTAGCTCACACCATGTATGTAAATATTAATTTTTTTTATAAAAATAGAGCAACTTTTACCCCGAAGCAGGCAAGCAGATTGAGTTGCTCCCAGAATCGTTCAGTGATCTATCTATCTGCCATCGGCTAGCTCAGTCTCTCAAATTTGCCTGCCACGAGTTTGCACTGAATAATAGAAGCTTCAGTCCTAAGGGAGGTTTGGCTGTGCTTAAAAGCAGAGGCAAAGATCTAAAGACTAGCTAGAAAGAATCATTCAGTGGTCTATCTATCTGCCATCGGCTAGCTCAGTCTGTCCCATAAAATTTGCTTGCCCTGAGTCTGCACTGAATAATAGGACCTTCAGTCCTAAGGGAGGTTCGGCTGCGCTTAAAAGCCGAGCGGAAGATCTAAAGACTAGCTAGAAAGCAAGAAATCCAACCATTTCCTGCTTCCTAGCTAATCTAAATCTCCCGGCACAGCAGAACAGCTGATGGTCCAAAAAATAGCAATTTAGCGGGCAAGTTTGCCGGGTAAGGAGTGAGTGGGCGGGGAGGGTTCCCGGGGGCCATGTGGGCGGCGCAGCCTTGTGTTTCTGCGCAGCCTGGATTAATTGCTTTTGTGGGGGGGCTTCTCTGGGGGTGAGATTTCTCTGCGGCCCACCAAAATTTTCTCACGGCCCACCAGTTGGCAACCGCTGATCTAGCCCCCCACTTCTAGGAGCTGAACTAGAATGGGGGGGCCCGCATTGACAGCTGCACAGGGGCCCTAACAGAGTGGGGAGCAGAACACGATCGGTTGCTCCAGAGACCAAGGGGGCATGGGGGGGGGATGCGACCCATAAGTCAACCCAACTTACCTGGGGGCCAAAATCTCCGGCTTCCCCCTTCACGCCGGGGCTTCCAGCTTGGCCCTAGGAGAGAGGAAGCATGAGGGTGGTGGTGGCAGGCGGGCCCCTGGGTAGGGAAGGGCCCAACCCAGCAAGCAGCCTTCGCCAGCCAGGGGCCCTCCAGAGGCCAAAACGCCGAAAGGACCCCAAAGGCCCCTGTCCCCATATCCAGCCCCCCCATCACACTTACCACGGCTCCTGGGTGGCCGGTGTAGCCCATCGGTCCTGGGGGGCCACGCAAGGCCAGCTGTGGCAAGGAAGGAAAGGGGTCACCCCAAGCAGAGACCCCTCCCCAGAGACCCTGGAGCATCAGGCGTTGGGCTTGAAGGGGGGGGCGCTTCTGTCACCCCATCCCCTTCACACAACACCGTTAACTAGGTTCCTTGCACAACCCACCAATCCAGGTTAGTTCGAACCTTGGCTGGTTTCGGGCTTCCCTGTCTGATCCCCCCCTCCAAAAGACAAGAAAAAAGGGGGTTGCCCACTTCCCCCAGGTACAACACCTGGCTGGCCAGAGACCCCACAGATTCTCTCGGCTGCTCACCCATCCTCCAGAAAAGGGGAGCCCGGCTGTGTTTACATCGGGTGGGGCATCCAGAGGCTCAAAAGCAGGGGCCCCGGATCGTGGGGGTTCCCCAATAACAGATACTTGTTTTGCTGTCCCGAATTCTTCTGGTTCCCGTCTCCCCCTCCCAGCCCCTACCCCAAAAAAGGCAGGAAGGAGGCCGGCTGGACTCACCCGGGCCTGCTGCAGGAACGCCTGGGCCTGAGCCTCCTGGGCCATCGCGACGGGCCCCTTCTGGCCCCCTGCGGGGCTCCCAAAACGGAACTGCGGTCAGGAGGGGAGAGAATCAAGCGAGTCTCGCAGGAGGAGAGACCCAAAAGGGCCAACAGCTGCTTCCGCCCGGATTCAGGGACAGAACCGGGGCCCCCCGCCGGACACCCCTAACCCTCCCGGCATGTCCCAGCTCCAGCCACCAGATTTTCCTGACTCACCGGAAGCATCATGGAGGTTCCGGGGGGCCCCGGACGTCCGTCGGATCCCGGGAATCCGGCCCGTCCAGGGGGACCCTGCGAAGGAGGCAAGAGAAGCTTCCGGAACATGCAAACACACAGCATCCCCTTCCCCCACACCTCCGGGCCCAACTTCGCTCCGATCCCTGGCCGTGACCCATGGGGGAAAGAGTCCTCCTTGAGCAGGAGTGTCAATTCCAGCCTTCCTTCGGCAACACGGTGCCCTCCGTGTTAGCCGGACTACAACTCCCATCATCCCCCCTGAAGCCTGGAATTCAGCACCGCTGGAAGTCAGCCGGGGGGGGGATGTCGGGGAGCAGGCAGCTCTTCACCCATACAGAAAAGTCCTCAGGCTCCTTCCAGGTGACCTACTCGCGGCGGGGAGGGAAGCCCCATACAACCTTATTGAATTACTGGACTGGGAAAAGGCTGCCTTGGTCCATGCGCAGAGCGCTGCCTTCCCCTCTGACTCGGGAACGATTGGCGTTGCAGCAGCGGGGGTGCGATTCAACCAGCGTAACAGCCGGTTCGGTGAGCGCGTGCTTCGCCCAAACTGATAAAAATCCCACCGCTGCATTGCAGTGATGCCAAGAGACGGAATCAGGGAGGCCTGGTGAGCCGCGGCAGGAGAACTCTGCACGTGCTCCGGAGCAGCAGAGGCACCTGCCCAGCAGAACATGCACAGGCCCCCAGCCCATCCTGACTCCCTGCCTGCCCCTTTCGAGAGACCCTCCCCTCCCCCAACAGAGAGGCTGCCCCACTCACCCGCTCTCCGGGGTCGCCGGGAGGTCCGGGCGTCCCCTGGGCACCGGGCGGCCCGCTCATGCCCTGCAGAGGAGAAGGCATCTCTTCAGCCATTTCTATTCTGACTGGGCTTCTCCCATCAGCACAAGGCCGAACCCTCCTCCCGATAAACCCCTTTTATTGGATTTACAACAAATTTCCTCTCCGGCAAAGTCCCGGCCAACGGTCTTTCACGAGATAATTCCCAATTACAGACCTTTATCAGGCTTGGAGAATTGCCAGGCCGACGTCTTTCAGACGCCGCACTACTTGGTAAGCGTGCCGGAGTGAACTAATTGTCTCCTGCAAAGCCCCGCTCCCCCTTCGCTCCTCTTTTATACTCTAGGGCAGGGGTCCCCAACCACCGGGCCGCGGACCGGTACCGGTCCGTGGAACATTTTTTACCGGGCCGCCGGTTTGCTGGGTGCCGCCATCTTGTTTTGATGAGAAAGTGCTTCCGGGTGAGCTTTTCCGGTTGGAAAGCGGCGTTTGGGTCCTGAAGGAATCCTCGCGCCTTAGTTTCATCGAAGGGGGTAGGCAGCTTCGAACGAAACTAAGGCGCAAGGATTCTTTCAGCACCCAAGGCAAGGCGAGCCGAGCGACCGTCGCGAAGCCGTCGCGAAGCCCATTGACACGGGTACAAAGGAGGAGTTGAAGGTGGCGGGGAGAAGCGGGGGACGGCTGGCTGGCTGGCCGGTCGCTCGGCTCGCCTTGCCTTGGTCGTGGGTCCTGATGCCGGTACCGGGCCGCGGATCATTTTGTGATGCCGGTACCGGGCCATGGCACAAAAAAGGTTGGGGGCCACTGCTCTAGGGGAGGGAGCCCTTCACCGTCCACCTCTGCCTTTACTCCCGAGTCGGCCCTTGTTCCTTAGCTGTTCCCTTCTTCTGGCAGCTCTGTGCATGCGCGCACTGGGAACAGGCTCCAGCTGTTCTTCTTCCCCACTGATTTCCTGATAAACGTCGGATGGCCCTGGCCCCATCTCTGCCTCTGACACAGAGCCCTCTTCAGAGCCTTCCAAAGACTCCAGGACCCATGTTCCCCCCCCCCACGACCTCCTCACTGTCTGAGTCTGCTGGCAGCTTTGCTGACCACCGTCGGCCCACAACAGTCTCTGCCCCACCTGTGCCAGCCCGCCCAGCACCGAGCGCCGGCCGCTCTTACCCGGGGTCCTTCGGGGCCAGGGCGGCCCGGCACAATCATCCCCTATGGAAGAAAAAGGAGGTCAGGTGGGTGAAAAAAATGACACCCCCCCCCTTGTTGTCCAGGAAGGTGGGCACAGGGAGCCAATTGCCAGAGGTTGGCATGGCTCAGGACAAAACAGGCCATTGGGGATGATTTAGAGTGGGCCCTGATCTCACCAGGAAGAGAGGGAGGGAAACCCAGAATTAGGGAGAGGGGCAGGAAGGGATGTTGATCTTGACCTTTGACCCCCCCCTGCAGTGACCGGGCACAATTAGACACTAACCTCTCCCCTCCCCGCATGGCTTGGACTTCATTTAGCAATGGTGGTATGCTCCCCGGTTTGGACCGGTTGGGCCGAACCGATAGTTAAAAACAGCTGAGAGGATAAAAGACCGAAAAGCGCCTGGGTGGGCGGAGGGTTTCTTAATCCTCTCAGCTGATTGGCTTGTCAGGGGTGCATGTATTAGGGGTGTGTGCATGCCTACACGTGCACACATGATCACCCACCGTACTGGTAGCAACTAAGATAGGTTCCCACTACCGTCATTCAGTACTGTCTTCCACAACATTGGGTGCTGGAAGATGGGTGGACTTCAACTCCCAGAATTCCCCAGTCATCTGGCTGGGGAATTCTGGGAGTTGAAGTCCACCCATCTTCCAGCACCCAACGTTGAGAAATATCAATTGTCAGAGGATTCCAGCAGTTACTCCAATGAGCCTCGAGCCACCCTCCCAAAACTAAAAATGATTTATTTGACGTTAACATTCTACGTCCGGCACTAACCTGGGCGCAGCCAACTCTGAGATACGTAATTCACTGTCACCCTCGATCCTGCTTTTCCCCCCCTCACCCCTCTGGGTGTATCATCCAATGAAAAAAAAAAACATCCAGAGCCCAGAGTCATCAATCATGTTCGCCAATTAGATTTTTACGGGGCAGAAACTTCGGTCATCTAATCAGTCTTTGAAGAAAATATGAACGGAATGTACTTTCGATTCCACACTGCCACCTGCTCGTCTTTCTGTTGTCAACTATAAAACGTGTATACAAAATGTTGTATGACTCGACATTGCTTTTGAGTGCACGGAAGCCAATTTGCTCGGTGTCTCCTGAGCGCAATCCCCCCCAAAACTCCCACCAGCCCAGCACTGGGATCGCCTGATGGCCGCTCATCCCGGCCCCCTAAAGCCCAGGATTTGCAGGATCTCCTTTCTCATCAGCCCCGGCTGCCATATGGGGGGGGGGCGGGTTGTCCAGACAACATCCAGACTGCTGGTCACTTTTGTCCCTCTCCCAGGTGTGTGTGTGTGGGGGGGGGCTTTTGTGGGGAAGGGGGAGAAACTGGCCTTTCTGGGGTCACAAAACGGGACAGGGGAAAAAAAAGGGACAAAGCTGGAATTGTGGACGTGGAAGGGAGCGGAGTCAACGTTTCGGGACGTCCACCCCACAACCCCCTTCCTTCCCTCCCCACTCCACCCCACACACAAACAAACCGACAACCACAGAAACTTACAGGTTCAAAGACGGCCGCTTCCCCTTTCTCTCCCTTCAGGCCTCGGGCTCCGAGCACCGCCTGGGGGTTGCACACATGTAGCCACAAGAAGGAGATTGTCAGCATTGCGTTGGCTGTAGTAGCACGCGCACCCAAAGAGACAGCACCACCCAAACAGACAACACGCACGACGAATGCCAAGGCAATGCCCCTCCTTCTGCCACGGGCGAAGCCATCTCAGTGGCACAGGGAATGGGGTTTCAATCGTCAGAAGCTCAACTCCTGGGCAGGGAGGGTGGAGTAGATGGTCTCCAGGGCCCCTGCTAGCCCTTGCCTTCTAGGGTTCTTTATAAGGAGCAAGGTGTATGACCTCTGTCTTATTTAAACTTCCCGTTGAGGCTTATTTTAACCCCCCTTGGCTTTGGGGAAGCTGCCAAAATGGACTAGAATAACAGAGCTGGAAGGGACCTTGGAGGTCTTCTAGTCTAACCCCCTGCCTAGGCAGGAAGCCCTACACCCCTTCAGACAAAGGGTTATCCAACATCTGCTTAAAAGCTTCCAGTGTTGGAGTATTCACAACTTCTGGAGTCAAGTTGTTCCACTGTCCTGACTGCCGGAAAATTCCTCCGTAGTCCTAAATTGTTTTTCTCCTTGATGAGTTTCCACCCGTTGCTTCTTGTCCTTCAGGGGCTTTCGGAGAGTAGCTTGACTCCCTCTTCTTTGGGGCAGCCCCTGAAGTCCCTACGTTCGCGGAGATAGCGAAAGGCAGCTGATAAAAGCTACGGGTCCCTGGAAAGGCCCTTTGAGCCAAGGGACTGGATTCAGTGGACAAGTCATTCACGACCAACGTGGGAATGGCAACCCGTTGGGCGTTCGGATGTAGAAAACCGGGAGGCAGTGAGTTCTAGTTCTGCCTTGGGCACCCAAGCCAGCTGGGAAACCTTGGGCCAGTCACTCCCTCGTGGCCCGAGGAAGGAGGCAATGTCAAAGCTCTTCTGGGGGATTAGGGAGGGGAAAGCTTGCCCCACAAAAAAACCCCGCAGGGGTTATAA